CACCAGGAGAGGCTCCCACACCCTGTGTCACCAGCACCCACCCTAGACTGGGTGGGGGCAGGAAGGGGCCCTACACCCCCACTTTACAGCCTCCAGGGCACCTTCCAAAATGCCAAGACCATCCCAGGCCCTGGAGCAGCCCTGCTGAGCTCTGGCCACACAGACTTGGCCACAGGAGCAGCCAAGGGCATGAGGGAGCCTGAGCACAACTTCCCCACCGACGCCTGTGCTGTCCCAGTGCCCGGGAGGGAGCCATTCCTCGGTTTACCTCGTGTGGGGCGGAAGATGCCTTCTCGCTACGGCCAGACTCAGAGCCCTGGGTGGCAAGGACAGCAGACACTCCCAGTGCCTGTGGGCCATCTCTGCTGCAGATGAGTCAGGGCCATAAAAGTTTACTGCCCGCTAGGACCCCAGCCGGACCCCTCCTTCCCACCATGGACGCTTCCTGTGTCAGCGACCTTTCACCCTCAGGGTGGACTCCCAGGAAATGGGGGACAGACAGCCTTCCTGGTGGGTGTGGACACTTCGCTTCCAAGACCTTGGAGCAAAAGGATTGAGGCCTCTTTCAGTTTCACTTGGTATTTATCCTAAGAGGACTGAGGCCAATCTGACCGGAAACTGGGGGTCTGGTCTACACGCCCACTGAGAGGCACAATGTGGCTAGAGGTTACCTCTGGAGCATGTTCTGGAAGTTAAGGGAACTCTGCCTAAGCACAGCCTGGGAAGGTTTCCTGCTGCAGGTGACATGCTCAGAGGTGTCAGAACATCAGAGACCATAAGCGAACCTTTCCTTCACAACCTCGCTGGCCTCCGTGGGCTGTGTCCCTGCCATCGACACCATGGGCACTCCTTCTGCCCTGTGTGTAGCAGAGGAGGGGACCCTCTCCCCCAGCGACTGACCCAGGAAGAGTTACATGTAAATGGGTGACTTGGGGAGGGAGGGGCGCTCAGCACTGACTCTCTGGGATCACTCTCCTCCCTGCTGTCACCTGGCCTCAGTGGCGGGAGGGTCCCAGCCAGCCAATCAGGGAAACCTACAGGAGGCTCACAGAAGTGCCAGCCCTCAACCCACCACCTCCCACTGAGTAACCTTCGGGGAGGAGGTGCTCTCTGAGCCCCCCAACCCCACCCACTCGCATCCCACCCCACGCCCCTGTACCAGGAGTCCAGATCCCCTAGGACCACGTCTTGCAGGATGCACTGGTTCGGGACAGAGTAGGGGCTTAGTGAGGGGCCCCTGGGGAGCTCTGTTCACCTTCCATAAAACAGATAGCACCTCCTCTGCCATCCCCGTGTGGGGCACAGAGAAGATGCCTGGCAAACCATCCAGTACCCATGTATGAGCTGGCAGCGGAAGGCAGGCTCAGCCCACCCATGTATACCTGCACCCACCCCAGGCCACAGCATGTGGGCATCGGAGGAGGAAGGACAGGCTGGACTTTCTTTCTTTTCCTTTTTTAACACTTTGTTTTGTAGAGACACAATTCACATGCCACATACTTCATCCATTACAATGCACATCTCAGTGGTTTCTAGTACATTCACAGGGTTGTGAAACCAGTATCACTATGTAGTTCCAGAACATTCCATCACCCTAAAAGAAGCCCCATTCCCATCTACAGTCACCTCCATCACCCTCCCAGTCCCTGAATACCAAAAACTCACTTCCTAAATCTGTGGATTTGCCTGTTCTCAACATTTTACATAAATGGGATCACACACTGTGTGGCCTTTTGTGTCTGGCTTATCAATGAACATAATTTTGAAGATTCATCTATTCATCTATTGTTTTAGAATACAAACAACAGGTCTTGTCTCGGCCACCACTGTCAAGCCCAGGGCAACAGGTGATGGAGCCCCAGCATCAGAAACCACAGTTCAGGCCCTCACTTGAGTCACCCGCCTGCTAGCAGGGCAGCCAACCCTCCCAGTGAGAAAAGCAGGAGACCTCAGAGCAGTTGTCACCATCGGCAGGATGGCAGGACGATAAAGGAAGTTTGCTTTCTGTCTTAGCTCTGCTCAGGCCACTCATGTGGGACTGACCTGCCAGTGGCAGGAGAAGGGAGAGGGTAGTTCCAAAGGACAAGGACTGGAGATCCCACTCAGGGGAGAGGTGACCTACACTTGCTAGGCACTCAGGGACACCAGCACTTGAGGCCAAAGCTGGGTGAGCAGTATTCAGACCAGGCCTAGACGGGGTCTGGGTGACTGCATTCTCTGGCTACACCCAGCAGCCTTCCTGAAGTGTGACCACGCTGTCCTATGCTGGGGAAAAAGTGATGGAGATGTGCCAAACCTGTCCACAATGAACCGCACACACACACATGCACACATATGTGCACTCATGTATGACACATATGCTTGCGTCCAATCTCAAGTGTACACATGCAACCCACCTGCACACCCAAACCTGCACACTCATACACACGAGAGCCCACTCATGCATACATGCATACAACAGACATGGACACAAACATGCATGTACTCAGCACAAAACACACACATGACCACATACAACATGCAGTGTGACATACATTTTCATATAAAACCTGCACCTGCATACATATTCAGACCCTGGGATTGTATTGGCACCATGGGAAACTGCCGTCCTAACTCAACCATGTCAGCCTCGTGCTGTGTTTACACTTTGAGATTACGTTACTCCCCCCCCCCCCCCCCCATGCTGGCAGTAAAGGCAGAGGCCATCCTGGGGGGTGGCCGCCTCCGGGGACCTGAACACAGTTGCCTCTTTATTCCCGACCAAGCTCGCTCATGCGGCCAGAGTCCTGAGCTGGGTCAGCAGTTCTAGCCAGCCCTGGCTGGAGGGGCATCTGAGACTGCTAAAACAGAGCTGGGCCTGCCCGGATTGGTCAAACCCCTGGGGTGGGACAGGGGTATGAGCTGCAAAGGTCTGGTTGTGGTTTTGCCCAGGTGGGGGCAGTGACTGGCCCAAGATCACACAGCCTGGAGAGCACTAATCCTGGGCTGCCCCCTGCAGCCTGCTTTGCCAGCCCCAACTTGAAAACCAATGGCCTTCCCTAGAAACCCAGACCCTTGTCTGACTCCAGGACTTCCCACCCTCTGTGAGAACATAGATGTCTCTCACACACACACACACACACACACACACACACACACACACTGGGCAGGTCCTCACTCGGGTCCTCACTCCAGGCAGGTGTGAGCAGATGTCTGCTAAGACACTCAGCTAAACAAAAGCACCTCATGTCTTCTAAAACTCCGGAGCACCTTCCCCCAGGTACCAGCACTGGTTTTCCCCTGTGGACAGCACTCACACGGCTCCTCAGGGTCCGATGGGCACCTGCATGTGTCTCCCCCACCATGGAGAACCCTGGGCCCCCCTCCCCTGGTCTCACCCACCCATCAGCCCAGATTTCACAGTGTTCTCCACAGGGACTCAAGGCAGAAGGCACTACAAGGCCAGTGGCACCAACCAGACAGCAACCACCACCACTCCTGGGGCCTCCCCTGGGAAAATCCAGGGTGCTTGGAAGAAAGGACACAAATTGGCTGACCAATGGGGTCCCAGGTCTCAGTCACAAAGAAAGCGCCACTCCTCTGCTCACAGGGTCCGAAAGGGCACATCGCCCCCAGCAGAGAAAGCCACTGCAGGGTACTGCCTGGCCTGGAGAAGGGGCCAGCCTCACAGCTGCTGGCTGAGGCCGGCCTCCAACCCGCCTCTGGGGTTTCAATGCCTGTGACAGGCAGCCTTTCTGCCCTCCAGGGGCTGTGGAGCCTGGCCCCCCAGCCCCCAGGCCCAGCCCCATCTGCCTTGAACCTTTCTGAAGCGCCTACTGGGACAGACTCACCATGCCCGGCAGCAGGTAAGCAGGTTCCCGGCTACATTCAGTCCAACACCAGCTCCCTTGTTACACCCTGAAACACTCACCACCACCCCCAAACTGCCAGCAAGCTTCATCACAGTCAGCTTCCAACCAGGAGCTCTCCCGTACTCCGTGCAAGCAGATGGCCCTAAACCCAGCCTGGGAGGCTAGTGCACAGGGAGAAAGGGCAGCAGGGCAGGTGGGTCCAAGGCAAATTCAGGGAAGCAGACGCTGGGTTTGCCCTAGACTAGACACACCTTTTACTCAATTCTTTTTCCCTTTGTAGAATCTTCATAATGTTATGCAGGGAGACACCCCACCGCCTCGCTGGCTCCTGCCTGCCTGGCTGTCCACGCCCAGTCCCTCCAGGCCCCACCAGCCTCCTGCTCTGGGGTTCTGAGTTGCTGGGAAGCTCTGGTGGGCAGGACCCGCCTGGCAGTCTTGCCTTCCCCATCCACCCACACAGGCTGCTCCTCCGCTCACCTGTGGGGTGGGGGCCACCTTTGCACCCCCACCCCCACCCCCGCCCTGTCCTTGTCTGCCGGGTTTCATTACCAACTCTGGGTGACACTCCCACCCCACATGCTCTGCCAGGTCAGCTGGTACCAGCAAGGCCCTATCCCAGAGCGAGGGTGTCTGCCCTTCTTGGAGCGCTGGAGGGTCCAGGGAAACTCCAAGGAGTCTGGGGTCAGGAGTCACCAAGATGGGTGAGATCGGGGCCCCTCCGAAAGGGAGGGGCTGGGGTCCCGGAGGTTGAGGGCCACCAGAAGGGAGTCGCGGAGGAGATTAGGCAGTGAGGGCCACAGGTTCTGGGATGTCACCGCGATGTAGGAGTCACCAAAGAAGTAAAGTTCGGGGTCAGCAAAAAGCACGGGATAGCGGGTCATCAAGAAGGAAGGGGTCAGGGAATCACCGCCGAGCTGGGGAGGGGCTCGCCGCTCCGGCGCGTCGGGCTGGGGTCAGAGAGCAGCGCAGGGTCGGGGGTCGCGGGAAAGGGCGGGGACAAGCCGCCGCGCTCCCCCCGCCCGGCCCGCGACTCCCGGAATCCCGGAAACCCCGGCCCGGCGAGCCCGGGCCAACGCGGGCCGGGGAGCGAGACTCGGGCCAAGCAGGGGCGGCGGGGTAGGACCGGGGGTCCGGCTGGACGCACCTCACCTCATAGCCGGGTCCGGCCGCCTCCGGTTCTCTGAGCTTCGCCGCGGCCTGGCTCACTTCCTGGTTCCCCGGGCGCCATCTTGGGGACCGCGCACTTCCGGTGATGCCGGGGGGGCGGGGCCTGGGGGGCGGGGCCTTGCGGGCGTGGCGCGGCTCCTGGCTCCCGAGCCTGAGGAGGGGCTGGCACGCTCCGTAGGCTCTGAATTTCAATTCCGACCCCGCCACCTGCTGTTGAGACCCTGGCGCGGAGCTTACCCTTGCGAACCTCGGTTTCCTCCTCTATAACATGAGTTTAGGACCAACCACTCCGACTTCCTGGCCGTTTGTGCGGACGGTGCCCTCAGCACTCTCACCCCTGACCGTAAGCCACTGGAGTTCTTGTACAGCCCAGATCTTGCCTGGAAAGCCCCTCCTCAGAGACTTCCTTGCAACCATCTGAAGTGGCCCCTGACCACCCAGTCATGCTCCCTCCCTTGACCGCCTCCCCATCAATAGTAGTCGGCTCATTGATCTGTTTCCCATCCCAATAGGAGTTCTAGGACCCGCCCTCGACACCCCACACGGAGCCTGTCACTTGGGTGTCTGTTGTGTGTGTGGGGGAGGTGTCTCAGGGGCCCGCGGAGAGAGAGCAGAATCCTCTTGTGCGGGACCTGAGGGTTCTGAGTGGCTCCCTTCCCATTAGGGCTTCCAGGGGCTGAAACATGAGATTTGGGCACTGCCAAGAAGAGGGTGGGGCCAGGCTTTGGCACAGAAAGCAGTTTTCCTGTGACTTGAGCCCACCTGCCTCACTGTGGGGAGGGCTGGCTGGTTCAGGCAGATTCAGTGCAGAAGGCACAACTCCCTCCCCAGGTAGGTTATCAGCAATGAAGGGGCTACAACTCTTTCCCTGGACCCACCTTACCACCAGCCAGTGCCTCTTGAACCCATTCCAACCCCCTGAAATGACAGGTCACCTCTCCATGTATTTGTTTATTTATTCAGTGAACTCTACTGGATGCTACTTTGTGCCTGGCCTTGAGCTAAGCAAAGCTGGGGCCCGAGAGAATGCAGTTCTCAGCCCTGGCCTCAGGAAGCCCCCAGATTAGGGGAGACAGAGCCAGACACTCATCTGCAAGATCAGGCCTGGGGCCCAGGGAGGTGTGATGTCTCTGCCTAAGGCATCATGGAGGGCTGCAGGGAGGAGGGGATATTGATGCTAGGGCTTTGAAGTTTAAGTAGGAGTTTGTTAGACACACAAGAATAGGAAGGGTAGTCCAGGCAAAGTATAAAAGCTGTTCAAATGACTGGTCTGGTAAGGGAGAAGAGTATGTTTAAAACCTGTTTGCCCTACAAAACTCAGGCCAAAGACCCACTGTGTCCAAGCCCACAAGCACAGGAGAGCAGATGGGGAAACTGAGACCCAGATAGAAGTGATTTATCCAGAGTGAGTATTGCTTTGGCAATCTGGGTTCTAACCCTGACTTTGGAACTGTTTTTCAGAACTAATCAAAAAAAATCCAACTGAGCAACAGGCACTGAAGATTCAAAAGGGTGAACAAGCAGATTTGGGGGATGGAGGGTGCCCAGCTGCATTTTCCCAGTTCCTCCTACACAACACCAACCACACAATTTTCAGGGACCAATGAAGAATGACAATGTGGGGCCCCTTGTTCAAAAAGGGTTCAGAATTTTAAGGTGGTGGCAGCAGAGATTAAACTGAACCAAGGCTCCTGACCCCTGAGTGCAGGGCCTGAGTGAAATTCAAGTCCCTCAGAGGCAGGGACTGGTGTTACCTACATTTCGCTAGTGGGGAAACTGAAGTGCAGAACTGAGTGGCAAGCAGGCGTGGACTTGAACTCTGCCATGTCTACCTTGGGAAACCATGAGGTCTTTACCGTCTTTACCGGTAATTTCGCCTGAAGTGGGGGCAATTTGCCCAAGCCAGGGTGGGTCCAGCCATCTCATGGAGGAATCTGCCAAGTCTGGGGATGTCTAGAGAATTAGTCAGATTCGGGGATTTCCAGGGAATCGCATGAGAGAGCAGAAGGGGCACAGTTCTGGAGCTCTAGCCCCAGCACCGGTGCAGCTATGTTTTCATGCTATGAGGCCCTAGAAAGTTACTTAATCTCTCTGTGCCTCTGTCTCCCCACCGGTAAAGTGGGGATGATGATGATAACAGTAGTTGCCTTTTAAGTTGTTTAAACAGCTAAGTGAACAGTGTCTAGTATGCCATTAGAGTGTCTGCATGTGACGCCTCTGGACCACAGGGTCACCGAAGTGAACATTCACGGATCATGTGTGCCCAGGGCCCCATCAGCAGGGGGGACAGTGCTCACACAGGCCAGAGGTGCCCCTAGACACTGTGACCAGGCTCGTGGAAGTAGGGTTGCCAGATGAAACACAAGATGCCCGGTTACATTTGAATTGCAGGTGCACGAAGAATACTTTTTTAGTGTAAGCATGTCCCGGTCAATGTTTGGAACATAGTTACATTAAAGAAGCAGCCTTCGTATATCTAAATTCACATCTACCCAGGAGTGCTGTATTTTCATTGATGAAACTGGGAGACCCAATGTGGGGAGATCACAGACAGAAATGGGGCCCGGGGGGTGGGGGTCAATTGGGGGAAAAGGAGACATATGTAAAACTTTAAACAATTTTAAAAAGTAAGAAAGAAAGAGAGAAAGAAAGAAAGAAAAAAAGAAAGAGAAAGAAAGAAAAGAAAGAAAAAGAAAGAGAGAAAGAAAGAAAGAAGAAAGAAAGAGAGAAAGAAAGAAAGAAGAAAGAAAGAAAGAAAGAAAGAAAGAAAGAAAGAAAGAAAGAAAGAAAGAAAGAAAGTCCCAGAGCCAGGACAGGGAGGCTTGGGGAACAGCTGCCTCTCTCTGAGCCTCAGTGTCACCCCTGCTAAAGGGACATAGAAGACACAACACACAGGAGAGGGTGTGCAGTGAGCTTGAAGTGCAGCTCAGCTGTTCTAATGACTTCAAACAGCGGAAAACTTAAGACAGACCCGAAGGTCAGGTCCCCTGGGGCTTCCCTGTGAACCCACAAGATTCTTGGGCTAGCCTCAGTTTTCCCATCTGGGAGGTGCCACTGACTAAACCCCCAGCCTCAGTTTCCCTTCTGAGAAGTGCCACCCTGGAGCTCCTCCCACTCCCAGCCTCAGTTTCTCTTCTGGGGAGCACTCTGGGGCTATGCCCATCTTGCAGTCAAGGAGATAGAGGCAAACTGAGGGCCCGTCTAGGGAGGCGAGACTCTCAGACCTGGGCAGGTGAGGCAGGGCAGGTGGGCCTGGCCCAAGTGGGGGAGGGGACAAAGCCACTTCCTGTTTCTCCACATTCTGGAAAGCCCCAAGCCTTCCTGATCAGTGGGAGCACCTCCCTCCCAGCCGCTCCCAGGCCTGGTTCCCTCACCACTTCTCCTTTCCACACCCACTTCCCCTCACTGCCACCCCGCTACCCTGGCCAGTGGCTCCATTCCTGCCCGCCTCTTCCCAGTCCTTCTTCTTCTCCCCTTCTTTCCAGTCTCTTCTCCCATGGCCCTCTTTTTTCTCCTTCTCTAGCCTTAATCACACCCCTCCCATGGTGCAGAAGAGGAGATTGAGGCAAGAGCTTCAGGGCCTGCCCAGGTCGCACAAGCTATTCTATGTCCCCTGACCTCACTTGCCTTTTTTCCCTCCCCACCTCTTTCTCTCTCACCATCTCTGTCAGTTTGTTCAAACCTCGATCTCAGTCTTTGGCTAGCCACCCTCCCCTCTCCTAACCAAGTCTGCCCCACCTGTTTCAGCCACCACACTGTCCCTGTACCCTGGCCTGCCACCTGCCCTGAGGTTTCCTCAGGTGGCTCTGGCTGGCAGGTTGCAGCTCCCTTGACACCATTCTGGCCTAGCCTGAGCCCCTAGCAGGATCCTGCCAGGCCCGGCCAAGGCTGCCTCTGAGCCAGGGCAGCTTCAGGGAACAGCTAACCCGTCCAACGGGTTTGGGTTTGAGATCCACCCCAGACAGGCCTTACTGCTTCTGCCTGAGGCTGGGACACCCAGGCTGCAGGAGGGTGACACCTGACAGGGCACCCCCCAGGTTGGGTCACGGCTGGGCCCTGAGGGTGGGAAGCAGGTGGGAAAGAAGAAAGATCAGCAGTCCACCAGTCAAGCCCAGAGGAGGGGGACTGTTAAGAATAGGGCACAGTACCTCAGGGGGAAATGCATCAGGGAGTAGGGCATTAAGGCTGGGAAGGAAGTGGTGGGATCATGGGGGGGCCCAGAGAACTAGGAGGCCTTTATCCTTAGGGCAGTAGGGAGCCACGGAAGGTTATGGAGCAATGGAGTGGTATGGTCAGGATGGGATTGGAGGTCACTGGATCTGCCCACATGGTTGGGCTGGGTGGGACTGAGGGGCCACATCTCTGAAGCTCATCTGGTGGCAAGACTGAGGCCATGGAAGTTGACCTGCTGCCTGAAGCCAAGAGAAGCGGTCAGACTTTGGATTTCTTTCTATCAAGGGCCCATTGTGAACCAGGCTGGAACTGAAAGGATGAGGTGGGGGAGGAGGGAGGACCCTCAGGATGTCCCCTCACCCCCAACCCCACGCCAGAGAGGGAATTGACTTGGCTTTGTAACTGAACAATGGGGAGTTATGGGGGGATTTAGAGCACCAGGGGAGATGGAGCTAGGGTGTGTGTAGAGGTTGGGGGGAGAGGGGGAGATGATCACAGGAAGAGGTGGGTCAAAAGGTAGGGAAGGCCACACATCCATCTGAGAAGCATTTACTGGGTGCCTTTTGGGGCCAGTCCCCAGGGACACAGTGGAGAACAGAGCCTACCCCATGATGTTCCTGGCCCACAGGGAGTGGAACAGCCCTGCAGGACAGGACATTGATATGTTGGTCCTTCCTGGTCCTTCCATTGATATGTTGGCCAGTCCCTGTAACCTGAGTACCAGGTGAGGATCTGAGAAGGTGAATGGAGCCTCCCTGTTCTCCCAGGCTGTACCCCACCCCCACCCCTTTTCCCTGAGCACTGACGTCGCCCGCACTGGGACTTCCTGAACCTTCACCTTGGATCTGCCTGGCCCCACGGGAAATTCCAGGGCAGCCGGGCTGGGTGACTCACATCAGGTCCCAGTGGCGGGAAAGAAGCCAGACTCCCCAGTCCCAGTCAGGGCGTCCCCATC